TGGCTCAGTGTTGACCAATAACTCTATATCCTTTTCATCTTCTTTTGATGTTTTCTGCATCATTCAAGATATTGTCCAAAGAATCCTTTAGTACTGTGAGTCGAAGCTTGGATAAATTCATCAGCTTTTTCAGCTTGAGAAAAGACAAGTGTGTTCTTCTATTTCAGTTTTCTAACATCATTTCTTTGCACATTTAATTATAATATTTTGTACTGTCTTCTCAAACTGCCCTTTAAAATCTTTAATTCAGCTCTTCTACTTTTGGCATTCATTTCCAGTTAGTTGGCTTCATTTCTTTCCACTAAGAGATTCAGAGTCTATTCTGACTTCCTTTTAGGCTTTCCTTTCTTCCTTGTCTTTGTAGAGATGTTTGTTGTCCTCACAAGAGATGATATCTTTGAGGTCATTCCTCAAATTATTAGTGATCAGCATTCAAATCTATTCTTGAGTTTTGTGGATTTTTTTTAATTCAGTAGGGATAAACTCAAGTTTATTGTTGGTTCTTACAGGTGAACTTAATTTTAAATTTTCATCATCAGCTTAACACTTGCATATATTCCAAGAAGCCCCTGATCTTATTTTGACTGTTGATACTAAGTTTCTCCTACATCTCTTTCCATGTAATAAATTTGACTCCTGTGTAGTCAATCATGTGAGATCCAAGCACATAGTCACCATTCATATTTTCTTTAAAATATATTTGCAAATGAGTAACTCATTCAGTGTCAAAATTCTTTCATGAGATCAAACTTCCATCCTCATTTCTGTCTCCAAGGTCATATTTCTGACTACTGTTCCTTCTTTCTTTCCAACTTAAATTCCAGTCACAAGTTACTAGAATTGTGTCTTCATTGCTTGCTCAATCTATTTCAGACTACAAAAGTATGTGCTCTCTTCAGATTTTGCCTCATACATGTAAAATCTCTTCCATGTCCACATGACTAAGTCTGGCATCTGAGCTGCGTGTGTTGTCAGCATTCCCACACCACTTTGAACTTCTGATAATTTAATAAGTCTCAGAATGTATTACACTTTCAATTCAATCTTTTCCCTCAGGAAAAACCAACCAGCCAAACAAACAAAACAAAACAATCACCTTACATTATTGCTATTTATAGTATATTGGCCAAAATAAGTCAGTCAATCACATCTACCTTCAAATACTACCTTCAATGTTGCAAAAAGAATGAAGAGGTGGGCTCTAAGGTCTCCTCAAAGGTACAAGAAGACCATATTTTGTGTACTGTTTTGTATGTAACAGATGTTCTTGAATATCTAGAAACTCTCTTTTGTGTTAAAGATCTATGTGTCGTTATTCTTATTAGGTGCTGTTGAGTCAAGTATGACCCTCAGTGACCTTATGAACAACAGATTTGAACCCTGTCCTGACTGAATCTGAAGTTTAGGAAATTTAGAGATATGTAGTGAATTTAAACTTGGTTTTTTTTAGTAAAATGAGAATATAAGTTTTTCTTTTTATTCTCACCTAACTCATGTAGACCATGAACAAGAAGAAAATTAATTTTATTGTACGGGACTAACAGCTCTAATTTCCTAGGGAGTAGAGAGTTGTCAACCCAAAGGGAGACAGTTTGAATCCACCAGTTGCTTCACATGAGAAAGATGGGCAATCTCCTTCTATGTGATTTATAGCCTCCGAAAACCTGCTGGAAGGTAAGCTATGCATCAGTCTCAACTGGACAATAAAGGGTTTTTGAGGAGAGCATTCTGGGAGAGAATGTCAGCAAAAACTGGACCATTGTGGGATCAACAGTATATGTTCTTTTGTAGAATTCTTGAGAACTTGCACCGGGAACTTGGCATACTTGGGGATATGTTATTGTTTGGAATGGTACAAGTCAGATAGAAATGATTTCTTTTTTTGGAATGGTACAAGTCAGATAGAAATGATTTCTTTTTATATGATGGTAGTGGTTGTTGTTAGGTGCTGTTTAGTAGAGTACTACTCATAGTGACCCTATGACAACAGATTTGAACCCTGTCCTATCCTGTGCCCACTTCATCTCCTCTGACACACTTGAGCCCACTGCTGCAGTCACCATGTCAATCCATCTGATTGAGGGACTTCCTCTCTTTTGCTGACCCGCCACATTTCCAAGAGTGATGTCTCTTTCCAAGGAATAGCCTCTCCTAGCAATATGGCCAAGTATGAGAAAGGAAGGATGTTAAAATAGATGAACAAATATGACCCCAAACCGACACCTTGACATTCCCATAACTGGAATGATGTCTTCAGGATTGGTTTACCTGCAAAAAAAAAAAAAGTTATTTCTGACCCCCACCCCCTATTATTCACCTGTGCCACTAAGTTTGTCCTCCCAAGATCACTCTGGTTGTGCTTTTTCCAGATATATGTAGAGTGCTCTTTTCAACACTGCAACTTAAAGGCCTCAATCAATGCTTTTGAGTTGTGTTTTGTGGTGATCATAAATAAATAGAGTGTTTTTTCATATGATCTATTAATAAGGTGGTATGTGGTAACTATTAATAAAGGGCTAATTCTAATTCACAGTGATATTTGCCACATCAAGTCAAAAGAGGGCAAACCCAAACTTGTGTTTACAATCATTGAATAACTAAATTTAAATACAAGTCAAAAACCCCAAACTGCAAAGCCACTCTAATTGTACGACACAATTCCATCAAATTTTGCAGCAGGCAGATCTAAGATTATTTGCGGAGGTAACTTCCAGGGAAGTAAATCTTTCCAAAATAAACCCGCTTATAATCATGACTTCCGTGTTGTTGTTGTCATTGTTATTTAAGTAACTTCAATTTATTTCTGCTTGCACACAGACTGTATTCCAGCTCAGAAACCCACAGTGCAAGACAAGTTGAAATCAATTCAGGTGATGCTTGACAAATATGACTCAATCAACCAATCATAGATAAATAAAATATAACAAGCTTACCGACCCTGGATTCATGCTGGCTTTTCGCTCGCCAGAATGGGCAGGAGTTTCAAATCTGACATTGGCTTTGACTTCTGGAGTCACAGTTCTTTAGGCCGTACAGATAGCAAAAGACAACCACCTCGCCGGATTAGCACTCGTGTCTCTTCTCATAACTACCCTTTCTGAGCATGTCGCTCATATAATGGGGAAGCGTCAGAAGACTCCAAATGAAACTAATGATTTTAAGATGGGTAGACACTGAAACTGTCTGACATATATCAGGAGGAAAAGCCTGTGGATTAACTAGTTTGAGAAGCAATACTGCCAAAAATAAATAAGCCCCCAAGCCACTTTTTGTCAATTTGGCTGTCATTCATTTTGAAAGCTAGAGGACTCATCTCCTTTGCTCTGTTTAAACATCATGACAATCTCTATTTACTAAATGGGGGAAAAAAACATAATTAATTCCTAAGTGCTGCTTCACACCCTCATGGCATTTTAACCCAGTGTCTATCAGAATTGCCTATGCAAAAGAAGTACATTGTTTGGCAATGGTTCTGTTTATGAATCTGCAGTTCCCTCCTTTGGGAGATGATAATGATGATTACACTCTGTTGAAATATTACAAGTGAAAGACAAACTAAGCGGTGCAGGCAAATCACAGGGGGTGGGATTCAGCAATCACAGTCCTCCTGTAGATGAACCAATCCTGGAGACAGTGTTCTGATTATGAGAATGTCAAGTTGTCAGTTTTGGGTCATATTTGATCATCTAACATAACATGATTTAAAATGAAGATGCTATGATTTTTTTTGTCATTATATCTACTTATTATTTGAACAGAAAAGCAAAAGAGAACTCATTCAGTCAGACACAGTGGAAATGAAAATGTTGTCAAAAAATAAAAGTCGTTCTAAAAGTGAAAAGAATTCCTGCTTATACTCAGCCAGATATGGACATGTTTGCCTTAAACGTTCTCTTTAAAGGGAAAAAAAAAAAGGAAAGAGAGCGAGAGAATGAAAAAGAAATAATCTAAAAAACTATGCTAGGTAATGAGCACTTTACATAATTATTACATTTAATTTTCACATTGACCCTGGAATATAGGCATTATTATTTCCACTTTCCACTTGAAGAAATCAAGGTTTCACAAGGACCCAGCACTGACTGAAGGTCACACAGATAATGAGCAACAAGCTTGAAATTCCACTCAGGTTTGACACAAAGCTCATACACTTTCCTCTGTACCATGCCGAACGGTGTCATCTCAAGAGTGTTTTACAGAGATCTGTGGCTAGTAGAAGATTCTTTATTTCTCATGATAAATGATGTATCACCAAGTTAAAAAAAATAATTAATGGAAAAATATTTTGCAAGTAATTTTGAAAATATGGGCATCGTGGAATCATATTTCCTTAGTTTTCTATGACCCACACGTGAGTCATAAATGGAATTTTATTTGACAATATACAATGTCTCAGCATTCTGAGGTTAGGGGCCATTAAGATAGTTTTGACTCTTAACGACCCCTTCTGGCAGAGCCAAACTATCTATAAAGTTTCATGACTGTGACCCTTGTGGAAGTGGATCATCAGGTCTTTCTCACACAGTGTCATTGTGTGGATTTGAACATTTAACCTAACCTTCCTTAGTTTTGATGGTCTTAACCTTATGCACTATGTGGTTTAAATAGGAATCCAGTATGTGTCACATTTTCTGGCAATATTTTAAAAGAATTATTAATACTACCAGAAAACCAATACATATTTATTCAGAGTATTGCCATTTTAAAGCTATAAGAAATCCACCCTTTGGGAAACTAGTCTTTCATTTTCTTCTACTCTGAAGATTAAGAAAAATTATAAAAAAAATAAAAATTAACCCACATCATTGTTGTTGTTATTGTTAGGTGACATCAAGCTGCTTACAAATCATAGTGACCTTATGAACAACAGATCTGATCTTTACCTTGTCCTGTGCCATCCTCAAATTCTGAAAAGCACTAGAAAGCTTTGAATTCACCAGTTTGCATAGTTGCCCCAAAGTAAACATGTGGGCACTGGGAAACGCAGTTCTTGATTTTACCTGAAGATGGCATCCATCCCAAGGCTGTATGTGGTTTGTATAAGGAGCCTCTTTAAACTTGCAAGCACTGTCATAAATTCTTTTCTACTGACTGGAACATTTGTGCCATGTATGGTAAATAATTCTTCTTTAAATGACAGGACACTAATATGTTCTTCAGATGGCTGCAGATAGACCTCATCTTGGGCTGTGTTGATTTTCAAGCCACTTCCCTAAAGGGTAAAAGGAAAGCATACAGAGGTAAAACAATGAAAAGAGGCTCCAAAACGGTAGAAGCATTAATACCATACACAGCAAGCTTCTCAGTATCTGTATTCAATTTCTCAGTAGGCTTTTAATTTCAAACTGGCTTCACCTGTCATTCAGCATATTTCTAGTAGAAATAAAGGGAAGGCAATGCAATTTAAATATCATCCATGGCAAAATACATTATAAAATAAAAGCTTTTTTTCATCTTATACTTTCTCACTTACTCAGATATTTAAGACAACTATTCACAAACACACATATGATTATAAACACTTCTATTTTATAAAAGTAGGAAAAATTATATATTTAAAAGTTTGCGTAGGTTGTACAGGGCAAAATAGAGGAAACTTTAGAGTTTAGTTATTGATTGAAAGAATTTTTCTATAGTGCAACAATATAAAAAAATGACAAAATAAACAAGAAAACTTCTATAGTCTAAAGTGCTCAAGAGTATGTTGCTGTTGTTGTTAGGTGCTATTGGGTTGACTATGACTCATGACGACACTAAGAATAACAGTTCTAGACTATATCCTATCCTGTACCATCCTCATGAACTTGGTCATGCTTCAGATCAGTGGTCGTCAATGTGTCAATCTATCTCATTGAAGACCTTTCTCCCTTCCCCAGCACGATGTCTCTCTTCAAAGATAAGTTCCTCCTGTTATATGTCCAAAGTAACTGAGATGAAGTTTCACCAGCCTTGCCTATAAGGAATACTCTGGTTGCACTTCCTTCAAAGTGGATTTGTTCTTTGGGCAGTCCATGTGTATTGAATACTCTTCATCAACACCTCAATTAAAAGATGTTTATTGTTCTTTGGTCTTCTGCATTCATTGCCCAGCTTTCAGATCCATAGTGTAAAACACCAAGATAACAACCTTATAATAAAGAGTGTGCTAAAACACTAATATAACAACATTATAATAAAGAGTGTGCTAAGTGATCTATTCTTTTTAGCAGATCCCTTTGAGATCACTAATTAAATACATTTAAGTATTCAATATTTTACATTTAGAGAAAAAATGTTTTCAAGGAAAAAAAATCTAGTTGCAATTCTGTTTTTCAGGCATACACTTATTTAACAGATAAGTGCCGGATCATTTCAGCCAATATGGGGAATATTAAATATGGAAAGGGTTGAGTCACTGACTTGGGGGTTGATGTTGCTGCTATGTGCCATTGAGTTACTTGTGACTCATAGTGATCCTATGTACAACAGCCCTAAAATCTGCCCTGTCCTTTGCCAAATTTCCTGTCTCCAACATACCTATCCTCATTACCCCAGTCACCATATCGATCCATCTCATCAATGGGATCCCTCTCTTTCTCCATCCCTCCATCCTTCAAAGCATGATGTCCCTCTCCAAGGACCAGTCCCCCCTTACAACATGCCCAAAGTATGCCAGACAAAGCCTCAGAATCCTTGCCTCTAAGGAGCATGCAGGCTTCACCCTCTCTAGGATGAACTTGTTTGTTCTCCTGGCAGTCCATGGTATGTTCAAAACTATTCTCCAGCACCAGAGATCAAAAGTATCAATAGTCTTTCTCTCATCCCTTGTCATTGTCCAGATCTCTAATGCATAGCAAGCTATTATGAAGACTATGGCCTGGACCAGGTGCACCTTAGTCTCCAGACTGATATCATTGCTCTTCAGTACTTTAGTGAGGGCCCTGACAGCTGACTTTCCAAATGTAATTCATCTCTTGATTTCCTGCCTGTTGATACCAAGAGTGTTGATCGTGGAGCCAAATAAACTAAAGCTGTTAACAATCTCAATCTCTCCACCTTCCAGTATGATGCTCACCCAGTGGTGAGAATTTTTGTTTCCTTGAGGTTGAGTTTCAATCCAAATTGAAGGCTGCAGTTCTTGATCTTCTACAGTCAGTGCTTCAGGTCCACCTCAGTGTCAGCAAGCAGGGTGTGTCATCTGCATAACACAGGTTGTTGATAATGTTCTGGGATTCCCATTCTTCTCAGAGTCAGATACAATTTGTTGTGAACCACACAGGCAAAGGCCTTTGCATAGTCAACAAAACACAGATAGACCTTCCTCTAGTACTCTCTGCTTTCAGCCAAGATTCATCTAACAGTAGCTACAATAGCCCTAGTACCACCACCTCTTCTAAACTCAACCTGCACATCTGGAAGTTCTCTGTTGACATGCTGCTCTAGTCATTTTTGGATAATTTTTAGCATAATCTTTCTTGCTTGCATGTGGTATTAATGATATTGTTTGGTAATTTCCACTCTCTATCGGGTCACCTTTCTTTGGAATGGGAACAAATATAGGTCTCTTCCAGTCAGTTGGCCAGGTAGTTTCCTTCCAGATTTCTTGGTACAATTTTGTGAGTATACCCAGGGCAGTGTCTGTTTGTTGAAATATGTCAATTGGTATGCTGCCAATTCCAGGAGCTTTTTTTTTTCCCAATTCTTTCAGAGTAGCTTGAATTTCTTCCTTCATCCTTCATCACCACAGGCTCTTGCTCATGCATTGTTTCATGAAATTTACCCTAACTCCCTTATCTGGATTTCCAAGACTATGTCTAAGAATTTGTGATGTTGAGTGAAGCCTGGCCAGAACAGAAAAGCCACACTTTGCTGCTCTTGTTAGGTACCATTGAGTTAACGCACAATGATCCTACGATCAACAGATCTGATCTTTCCCCTCTTCTATGCTCAGCATGATCTGCATCATGCTCAAGACCGTGGTAGTAATTTTGCCCTTCAACTACATGAAGGAGCTTCTTCTCTTTTGCTAATCTTCCACCTTTCCCAGTCTGATGTCTCTTTCCAAAGTCCAGCACTTTCTGAGAATATATGAAAGAGGAAGTTTTATCCTCTTGCCTCTAAGGAACATTCTGGTTGCATTTCTTTGGAGACAGATATATTTGTTCATTTTCTAGTCCATATTATAGTCCATACTCTCCTCCATGGGATGTCAATGTCAAATAGAAGGCATAGACTAACCTGTCATGGAGGACCAGTTAATAAAAACCCTGAACATGAAGACTCAAGGGAATCTCCTGGTGGATGAGATTATCTGCCTTGGAAGAGCATCACATCCCTCAGAACATGAAAGTTTCACACTGGGAATCCTCCTGGCCACCAATCCATGAGCCTAGTAATTTGTTTTTATTTGTGGAGAGGATACATTATTGTTATGCACCGTAGAGTTGGAAAGGACTCATAGCTTATGTTCCACTGGGTTTTCAGAAGTAGTAAATCACATGGGAAGAGAACGTCCATCTTTCTCCAGCAGAGCAGCTGGTGAATTCAAACTGAGTACATTCTGTTTGGTAACTCCTTACTGACCAGCCACCAGAGCTTCTGGAGTAGGGTGTGTGTGTGTGTGGAGGGGGGCGGGATTGGGGGAGATGGAATAACACTGTAATAATAATTATGGAATTCTTTCTATGAATTCTGTGAGCCATTCCATTCCAGTGAATTATAAAATCTAGAAAGACAATGAGAATTAGTAGGATGGCATCCTGAAAGGATAGTGGGGAAACCAGGCCCAAATTTGTGGCAAGCAGGTCACGGGGCTGAAGTGTTGTGTAATGTCTGCTTATTTAGAAGTCTGAAAACAGTATCCTTTTTAGAATACTGAACCTGTGGGTTCAGTCGTAGCTCTAAGGGACAAGGGTTAGAGAGAGTTAATAATAAGAATGGAGAAGTGGGAATGTAAGCATTGGATCAGTCTCTGCATTTGGAAGTTGAGATGCACATTGATCGTTGTCACACACTGACTGAAGATGAACAAAATCTGAATGTCCATATGTGTGAGAGAATGTGTGTGAGCGTGTGGAAGGGCGTACACATTATTTGGAAGGAAGTTCCAGGAGAGAGTGGGAAAGGCCCTAAAATGTTAGGTTTTTAGCATTTAAGAATTCCAAAATCTCTGTAGATGTTCATTGAAATGAAAATAAATAAATAAATAAATAAATATTTTTTTAAAAAAGATAATTGCTTTTGGTCCTCCTAAGAATTTTCTTGCACAGATTTCTTACCTAAGTAAGGATTTTATAGTAAAAATTTAGGTATAAATACTTAAATTTCTATTTTCATTTACTTTTGCACAATTTAAATAAGGAAGTAGACAATAAGGTCTTCTTGGAACAAGGGAGAAGGGGAAAAACACAACTATGTAAATTAGATTTTTTCCCAGACAATTTCATCACATGCATTTTCTTGGAAACAGAGCTACTATGTTTTAAATGTAAACTCTAAGTCTGGCCAAAAATGACCATCACTGTTGGAACTCAATAAATGTACCCAAATGTGATATTTTTCTTTAGCTATATGTTAATCTATTTAAAATTAACAAGTTAAAATATATCACCAGTGTCCTCAAATAACAGAGAGCTGTCAAGTGGCCAACACAAATAATCTTCATACCGTACCTCTAAGATAATCATAAACTGTAGAGTACGTTCTGTGTCATTCTCTTCTTCTTCCAGGTCGTATGATATAGTAAACGTCAACTGTCCTCCAGCTGCTGTGAGCTAGAAGAGAGGAGATACATAGTGATTATGGAACAGGATATGGTCTATTCAATCATATTTTACTTATTATTCTAAAATGATTTTATTGCTCCTGAGGACTGCATTTGGAAGCAGCAGAAATCACTGGAGTACAGACTGGAAATGACAGACATTTCTTTAGGAGTAACCTTTTTACGAACATTACCCATCAACTGTAAATCTGACATAAATATAAATTCATGTATTATTTCTCCCAGTACTGCAGGCTTGCTGAAATAGGGTAAGTTCTGTGACACTACATGCAGTACCTCCTGTCATCTCCCTAGCTATAGTGCAAGTGTTAAAATTCTCAAAAAGAGAAGGATCTATGTCAAAACTGAGAGATTTCTACCCATTCCAAAGGGTCACTGACATTCTGTGGGACTGTGTATGTTCAAAAAAAGACATCGCTCCATTTGACAAGAGCTTTGCATAGACTATAATGTGAGTGAGCACATTTTGTGAGACAAAAAAAAAGTAGCAGCAAGTACCAAACCAAAGGATATATACTTTCCCAGTGAACTCAGACAAGCTTAAGTGAATACTATTATCCCCTTTCATGAAGCAAGTATTTTCCTTACAAAATACATGCCAAGAATCATGAAGGGTATAAAAATTTTTTGTCATTGGTAATAGCTTTGAATTTTATTTTTTTTTTAAAAAAACTAGAATTTGGTAAGCAAGATCTAATTTATTGAATTAGAACCAATATCGAAGCTTGAGTGCCATACTTAATGTAAATGATTATGTTCCCTACCCCCACCTTTTAAAAAATCTTCCGCTCCAAACTGTAAATAAAGACATTTACAAAACCAAGATGATGATTCTTCTTCTGTTTCCTGCACACTGACAAAAAAGAGACCCAGCTTCACAGCAGTTGGCCTTTCACAGCAGACCCCTAGCAGAAAGCAATTGCTAGCAGTGCACTGGATAGAGGAGGCGGAACCCTGATTCCCCTCAGTGTTGTTCCATAGGGAATGGCACACAGCTTGCTATGGCTTATTAAACAGGATTTTTAAATTGCAGCTCCACAATGCCTTCTAAGAGCACATTACACGGAGCTCCGGAAGGAACTAAAACTCACAAAACTTTTATTCCCTTTCTCAACTAAGAAATGGTCCTACTCTAATATCCTTTCTTACATAAAATAATAAATATCTGTCTGGACTATAGCAGTTGGCATTACTGTGAGTAATGAAGGGTGAACCTATGGAAAAGGTTTCTAGTTCTATTAAGATAAGCATTCAAAATTTAACATAGCTTGCTAGTTCATATCATCTAGATGTTATAAAACAAGTCTAGAAACCCATGAGGAAAGGATGTTTTACATATATTAAAGACAACTGAACTATTTAAAATTTTGTTGATCAATAAAATTATTTAGAGGTAGGACTGAGATAGGGAAATATATTGTTAATAAGTCTTTAGCAGTTAAATATATTTTTAATTCCAGATAATATTTGAACAATTTAAAATGTGGCCGGTATACTATCCTTTTCTGGAATATGTTGCATTTTTTAAAAAAAGAAGAAGAAAATATTGGTTTCAATTAATTCCTTTTTTATTAATTTTAATGAATGTTTTACAGAGATTTTGGATTTCCATTCATTCATTGTTGCACTTTTCTCCCTGCCCACCTTCTCCCCCCCACCCATTCGCTCTTCTCTTTGAAGAGTAAAAGAAAAATTATTTCATTACCCATCCCCAGTACACTCCACTATGAAACCTTCATTTTGGACTCCTGTCATAATGCCCAATCATATATCACTTTTTATTAATTTTAATAGACATTTACAGAGGTTTTGGATTTCCATTCATTCATTGCCACACTTTTCTCCCTGCCCACCCCTTCCCCCCAGTTCACTCCCCTCTCCGAAAAGAAAAAGAAAAATAAAATTCCTTCATTGGTATACAATTTCCCCATCCCTTTCCTCCTGCCCCCGACCCTGAGTACACTTCTCTATGCAGTCTTCTCTCACTCATTTGTTTCAATGCAGTATACATCATTTATCCAATCTTTCTCAGTCTCACCCCAAACCTGGTGTCAGTCCCATTCTACAACAGTGGCACTATGCAGTATTTGTCCTTTTGTGACTGAGATATTTTACTCAACATACTGTCCTCCAGCCCATTTTGAATAATAATACATGGGTTCCTTGTTTTTCAATGCAGTGTAGTATTCCATTGAGGGCACTTAAGGTTGTTTCCAACTCTTTGCTATTGTGAACAAAGCCACAATAAACATGGGTGTGCATATATCTGCCTGGGTGGCAGTTGTGGTTTCTTTAGGGTTTATTCCCAGAAGTGGAATTGCTGGGTCAAACGGTATTTCTATTTGCAACTTTTTGAGAGAGCACCATACTCCTTCCATGGTGGTTGCACCATTTCACCCTCCCACCAACAGTGAATAAGGGTTCCGGTTTCTCTGCAACCTCTCCAGCATTTGTTGCTTGCTGCTCTGTTAAATTTTGCTATTCTTACTGGGGTGAGATGATATCTCATAGTTGTTTTGATTTGTATCTATCTTAGAGCTAGGATTTTTTTTTTTATTTTTCTTCATGTATTTGTTGGACACATGGATGTCTTCTTTGGTGAAGTGTCTGTTCATATCCTGTGCCCGTTTGTCAATTGGGTTATTTACCTTTATCTTGTTTTGGTGCTCGAGTATATTATGAATTCTAGATATAAGTCCCTTATGTGACATGTCATTATCAAATATAATCTGTGCCTTCCTTTTTTTACTCTGTTGGAGAAGTTTTCAGATGTGCACATGGATTTGATTCTTAGAAGGTCCCATTCATCTATTTTATCCTCTCCTGGTTGTAGAGTTTTCAGGATACTTGGAAGACTGTTTATATTGTGGATTAGGGCTTCCAGAGTTCTTCCAAGCTTTTCTTTAATGAAATGTATAGTCCTTGGTTTTATTCCTAGGTCCATGATCCATTTTGAGTTGTTTTTTATGTATGGAGTGAAGTGTACACCTTGCTTGAGTTTTCTACAGATAGCTTTCCAATTTTGCCAGCACCATTTGTTAAAAAGGTATCATTTCCCCACTTAATTGATTTCATCTCTTTGTTAAAAATCAATTGACCATAGGTAGATGGGCTGATTTCTGGATTCTCTATTCTATTCCATTGATCTATGTATCTGTCGCGATACCAGGACCATGCTGTCTTGACCACCACAGAAGTGTGGTATTATCTGAAATCATTAAGTGAGATGCCTTCTACCTTCTTTCTCTTTTTAAGGAGTGCTTTAATTATTCAGGGTCTCTTTCCATTCCAAATGAAAGTAGAGATTGCTTTTTCCATCTCATTGAAGAATGGAATTGGTATTTGTATTGGGGTTGCATTGAATGTGTAAATTGCCCTGGTAGTATTGTCATTTTCACAATATTGAGTCTTCCTATCCATGAGCAAGGAATATTCTTCCACTTCTCCAGGTCTCTTTTTATTTCTTGTAGTAATGTTTTGTAATTTTCTTTGAATAGATCTTTTGTGTTTCTGGTTAGGTTTACTTGCAAGTATTTAATTTTGTGATTAGCTATTGTGAAGGGCATTGTTTTTCTTAGCTCAAGTTCTTTATTTTCTTTGGTTTCAGTTAATTCTTAATCTCTTACATTGAATTTTTAATTACCTTTGTGGTGTTTTTTATTTGCCACAAAGTCTATACTGACATACATTTGTACCACTATATTTTTTCAAATGGTGAATTTTCAATGTAATTTTTCTTTTCATTAATATTAACTTTCAGCATCATGACTAGATTTTTGTTGTTACATGCCATCAAGTCACCCGTAACTCATAGTGACCCCTAAATAGATTTCAACCTTGCCCTATTGTGAGCCAATCTCTTCATCTCTGACAGATATAATTCCATTTCTCCAGTCACTGTGTCAATCTATTTCATCCTTGGTCATCCTCCCCTACACTGTACCTCCACCCTTCCAAGTATGATGTTCTTCTCCAATGACTGGTCCCTTAGGTCAACATTCCCAAAGTATGTGAGACAGAGCTTCAAAATACTTGCATCCAGGGTGTAGCTTGTTTTCACCCTCTCTGGGATAGACTAGTTTGTTCTCCTGGAAGTCCACTGTATGTTTACCACTGTTTTCTAGCACCACAACTCAAAATAGTCAATTCTCTATTATCCTTAGAATAACTAGCAAGGTTGTGGATCTGCCCTCAAGAGATTGGGTAGATTGCTAGTAATGAGGCAAATAGTACCTTTGGTGTGTTGTTGCTCTTATGTATGCATCATTAAGTTGACCAAGACTAATAGCAACCCTATGAACAATAACTTAACTTTCCCTATCCTGGAGCCAACCTCACCTCACCATTTGCAACACGGCTGATCTAATCGCTACAGTCACTACATCAAGCCATTTCATCTAGGGTCTTCCTAAAATGAGCTGGCATTCTACCTTTCCAAGCATGATGCTCTTCTGCAAGGATTGGATCTTTCTAACAACATGTCTAAAGTATGTGAGACAGAATTTCAATATCTTTGCCTTTAAGAAGCAACCTAGGCTCATCTTATCCAGGATAGAGCTATTTGTTCTCTTGACAGACTAAGGTATGCTCAATACTCTTTTCCAGCACCACAGCTCAAAGGCATTAATTCTTCTTCTTTCATCTTTATTCATTGTACAGCTCTCAGATGCACAGAAAGCAATTGAGGAGACCTTGGCTTGTATCAGGCACACCTAAGTCTTTAGACTGACATGGTTGCTCTTTAGGACTCTAGAGAGTGCCCTGATAGCAAATTTCCTAAAGCAACTCATCTTTTGGTTTCTTGACTGATGGTGATGGTGTTGACTGTGAATCCAGGCAATATGAAATAACTAACAACTTCAATCTTTTCTCCATCTATCACAATGCTGCCTATTAGTTCTATGGTGAGGATTTTTGATTTTTTAATGTTGAGGCACAACCCATACTGAAGGATTCAGACCTTGATTTTCTACAACAAGTGTCTCAAGT